AATCACACATCATTAATATCACACTCTCACCGCCAGAATCGCTGTCATCATCGTCGTAACTACCGTTATATCGTAAGATATCTCCAATAATCATATTTGATGGATCTTAGGAGGAGGAGGAGGAGAAGTTCTCCGCCAGCTTTGGCGACCTAATTGTTCAGGTACAGTGCGGGAGTTGAGAGGGGTTGAGGGTTGCTGGACGCACTCGGTTGGGTGTAATATAGAGGTTTGACTGGACTTGTACTTAGCTGGGATTTGTGGGTGGATGATGGGAAGAGGGTTGTTGCTAAGCAACGGGCTTACTATTTTAAGCCTGCTCAAGGGTTTGATGTGAGGAAGGGTAGGGTTGGTATGGAGGCTTAGATATGTAGAGGGGATACTGTAGATAATTATTGAAAGGTAAACATAATTTTAACTAAGAGGTCAAGGTATAATTGTATAGACTCTCCCTTCCATCCTAATAATCGCAAGAAATCAACGAGCTTCATCGTAGTCTCGTAGAGTAAAAACGTCTATTTCTATAACATGTCAACATCTTCCCTATAACACATTCCTTTACAGTAACGAAACAAGCCACGTTCCAAGCATTTTAGCCTTGATTTAAGCTAGTTGTCCCATCCGCTTGTGGACATTCTACCGCTCGTCTGATTCTTACACTTGTGTATCTTGTCTAGGAGGGACGATATATAGTAGCTAGAAATCCTTGCAGATAATGAATAGGATTCTTGTTTAAGTGTTCTACTTTGGTGGTTTGTAGAGCTCGATACTGGCGAGAGGGGGGCTAAATTGTATTAGCGAGGTATTGTAGGTGATTGGAGTTTCTACTGGTAGTATTTATAGTAGACAGATGGCGTATTCTGATCCTGTTTCATCTAGATGACTTGAAGTCTTTGACTTTTTGCCTTCGCTCTTTTATTTACGACAGGAATCGAGGGAAGAAACAGTCTTTGCTTATATCCACTACGTGATATCTTAATAATCTAGATGCTCTAAAACCAAGATCTACAACTCATCCTTAACACCACTCTCCCCTTCACTCTCCCCCGGCCTCACACACCGAAAACTACTCGCAGACTTCGGATCACCCACGCCATCATACCTCCCCTTCGCAGGATACGGACAAAGTACCTGGTTAAACGTCTCCCCACCAGCACTCGTAAAAGAAACAGGGAGTGTATCAGGAGCTTTACCGTTCTCAACCCAGTTTACTAGTGCCTCGAAAGCGGATCCGGGAAACCCTCCCTTACCACCACCACAATGTTGAATACCAGGGGCTGCGAAGACGCGGAAGAAGTCGGGCGTATCGGGATCGAGAGAGGTGACGCGGTCGTAGTATTGTTTTGTCCCGTTCCAGGGGATTAGTTGGTCGTCCTGGGAGAGTTAGTGTTGGTGTTTGGGGGGGGGGG